CCCCCACACACACACATAGATGCAAGAGATGTATGAGCTGATCATGAAGCACAAGCGTGCCATGGCAGACATGCAGAAGTTGTGGGAAAAAGCCATCCGAGACCACCAGCATGAATATGACAGCGATGAAGAAGTGGACGAGGGAGCTGGGACCTGGGAACATCAGCTAAGGAAGATGGAGATGGAAAAGACACGTGGTATGATTTTTTTTTTAAGTCATTCACATAAATTTAAAAATCCTCATCTATTAATGATGACCTGTGTTTTTATGAGATGAAACACAATCCTTGCTGTAAGATTGTTTTGTTTTGTACACCTCCAGAGTGGGCAGAGTCTTTGACAGAGATGGGCAAAGGGAAACATTTTATTGGTGACTTCCTTCCCCCTGAAGAACTGGACAAGTTCATGGAGACGTTTAAAGCACTCAAAGTTAGTTTCCCCTGGATTCCTTTGCCTTTTAGCTTGATTGAGTGAAATCTGTTAGGTCTGATGAAATACAATAACCTCTTGGAATTAGAGGATAAAGATAACCACACATGTTTCTGTCAAATTGTGAGACTCAAAATCCAAAACCTTAAACTTTTAATAAATATGTTTCCTACATTTAAAGTAGGGTATTTTTAGGACAAAGGTCATGCAAGAGTGAGTGCCTGTTGTGACACTTGTTAAAGTTTCAGGTTGCATAAGGTAAATGAAGAAATATCAGTACTTTGACATGTTAAATCTGTAATAAAATAATCAGACACAGTCTTCATTTTTGTTATATCTACAAAGCTGAGGAAAATCCTCCCTCAGCTATCATCATTTGAAAGTCATGTTTGTCTTATTCTGTTTATGTAACGTCTTTTTATAATAATTCATGTGCATCACACCTGCCTAACTTGTGTTGTGGACTTGCAGGAAGGTCGGGACCCTGACTACTCAGAGTACAAAGAGTTTAAGTTGACAGTGGAGAATCTTGGTTTCCGAATGCTCATGAAAATGGGCTGGAAGGAAGGGGAAGGCCTCGGCAATGAAGGACAGGGAATCAAAGATCCTGTCAACAAGTGAGTCTTTATTCATCACAAGTAGTGACTGAAACCACTGTGGGAGAAAACGTCTTGGATTGTTAGAGAAAAATTAGCTTTTAAGACAAAAAAACAAAAGCACATCTTTTAGTAGTCCAATGTTAAAAATAATCCCTGCTGTTTTATGTTCACCGTAAGATAATATTGACTTAAAGTGCCTCTGATCTGCATAGTCTTCAAATGCAATATGTCAAATAAAACATCTTTATATGTAAGAAACTTGGCATAATATACAATTTTACCAACTTGCACATTTTCTGTTGAACTTGGCTCAGCCAAAATGCAACAGGAAGTGACATCAAAGGGGAACTTTTCAAGAAAAAGGAACTCAGTGGTTTTTGTTTATTGAAACAATTTGAACTCTGATCTTTCATCTCTCTGATAGCGCCTCAAAATAATCTAAAGAAACATCAGATTCTTCTCCACAGTCTGTGTTGTTGGTTATTATAGCAATACTCTGTTTACATGCAGGCATTCCCCTTTGACATCACTTCCTGTGACTTCACATGCGAAAATCTCTATTGTTCATCTCAGCAGCATCTTATTTTTTTTTGCAATATGTGAACGTTTTCTTTCACAAAATGCACTCAGATTTGTTACAAAAATTTGGTGTCACAGGCACTTTAAAGGTTCATTATCACTTTATCTTATAATAGAAATGAAATCAGTGCAGTTGTTTGCAGATGAATTAGTATGTTTTTTTTGATCAAGGTCTTTTTATTAATTTTTTTAACAAACCACAAAAAAGAACAGACTTACAAAAACATAAAAAAAACACACACACCCAAAATCCCTCCCATCCCTCCCCTCCTATATCGGATCCACTGAAACAACCAAAATCGATCTTGTATTAATACAAGTGATACAATGAACAGGTTTGTGTATAATGAAACAATATTTAACCTTTACACAAAATTATCTGCCAAATTTTTTTCTACATAAGATATAAATGGCTGCCAAATGTCAAAAAATTTAGTATATCTAATCTTCTCTAAATGAATGTAAGACATAACTTCTCTTAACCAATGACCATATACTGGAGGATGTGGATCCTTCCATCGAAGAAGAATAAGTCTTCTAGCCAGAGAGCAGAAAGCTAACACCGTCCTCTGATGTTCACTGAGGGAAGCCTCTGCTGGAGCCACCCCAAAAAGAGAAATGAATGGTGAAGGATGAACAGTTCGTCCAAATAGTCCTGAAAAGGTATCAAAGATGCCTTGCCAATATCCATGTAGCTTAGGACAGGACCAGAATGTGTGCAGAAGTGTGGCAGGAGATTGTCTGCAGCGATCACACGTCGGATCCAAGTCCTTTTTGAATTTGCACAATCTGTCCTTAGACCAGTGTAGACGATGTACTACCTTGAATTGAACTATAACATGTTTCACACATATTGAGGACGAATATATATTTTGAATAATTTTTTGCCAAACTGTGTCTGATATGGATTCCTCCAAGTCCATCTCCCACTTGCCCTTCAAAGAAACTAAATTGGAGTCAGAAAATGAGCTGAGCAGAGAATAAACTCTGCTCTTAGAGCGTTTTGTTACAGACTTACACATCAGAATCTCATCTATAAGAGAAGTTGGGGGGCGTAGAGGAAAACATCCAGAGTTTGACATTACAAAATGTCTCAGTTGTAAATACCTGAAGAACTGTGACTTATGGATGTCAAAGTTCTGTGCTAACTGTTCAAATGAGGCGAACTTATTGTCTATATAAAGATCATTTAGAGAAGTTATTCCCTTTAAACTCCAAGTATTGAAAACAGAGTCCATTAGTGAAGGAGCAAACATATGGTTTGGTTATTCAAAACCATACTAATCCATATATGTATTGATTAGTATGGTTTTGTCTGTTATTTATTTAGGTCTTTGTTATGGCTGCCATTTTGATWAGCTGATGCAGGTTAAACCATGAAAATCTGACTAAAGGTCAGCAACAGTTACTAAAAAGAACATTAATTGGTATTATCTGTATTGATGCTTTGGAATTTATATTTGTTTTTTAATAAATCAGGTTTGTTTGTTTGTTTGTTTGTTTGTTTGTTTTTTCAGACCGTTTTTGCTTAATTTCAGTCTACCAGACAGAAATAAAATGAGAATTTATTTACAAATTTAACTCTCTGTCCCACTTTAGAGGAACTACAGCTTTGAATGGGGCAGGGTTTGGAATCGAACGTCCAGCTGAGCTTTCAAAAACTGACGATGAGTACGATGCTTTCCGAAAGAGGATGATGCTTGCTTACCGCTTCAGGCCAAACCCACTGGTAATGTATAAGTTTGCTCTTTATTATTTATTTTATTTTATTATTTGGAAGTGCGTGATTTTTCATTATCTGAATTTATTTAGCTGACTTACAATTGGATGCAAAATTTTTAGTGTTAAAATAAAAAGTGACATCAAACGGGAGCTCTTTCAGAAAAGGAACGCCATGGTTTTTGTTCATTATTATATTATTTGAACTCTGATTTTTATTTATCTTTGATAGTGACTCAAAATTATCTAAAGAAGCATCAGATTCTTCTCTACAATCTGTGTTTTAAGCTGTTGTAGCAATGCTCTGTTCACATTTGGACTTTGACATCACTTCCTGTTATTGCACATCCAAATATCTCAACACCGTTAAACTCTTGCAGTATTTATCAATGTTATCTTTCTAAAAATGCATTTATATTTATTACAAAAATTGTTGTCACAGGTACTTTAATGTGGGGCTAATATGTTCAGCACTGGTCAAGTGTCTTTTTGATACATTTTAATTTAACCCGCTGTTTTGTTTTGTTTTGTTTTTTCCTTTACAGAATAATCCCCGGAGGCCTTATTACTGATACAGAGGACCCTTTCTGTCTATACTTGTTGTTGTTTATCATAACATTTAGCATTGGCTTCTTGGCTTGGTTATGAAATAAACATTGTTTTAACTGTGGAGTTCAAAATATCAGAGAAAAGTGGTTAAAATCTGAAATTTAAAGAAATATTGTTGGTGACATTTTCTGTTTACCACAGAACTATATTCTTTAAGTATTTACCCACCGGTTTGTTACATTTCAGTGTAAAAGTGTAACAAGTTAAATATATGAAGATTACATCTGTAATTTTTTATGATTTTCCTACACTTTTAATTTTCATCCTTTTATTAATCTTCGTACTTCCAACCAAATAGCAGTTCTGTATAAAAAAAAATCATCTGTAATACTCGTGAGTTTGTTGCTGTACTCCTTTCATGTTTTTTTTTTCTTTTTCAAAATAAAATCACCCCCTTTGAAATGTGAAGTTGTCACACAAGTCCCAAGAAATTCAGTGAGGTGCAGCTGTGTATTTGCATTAAACGGCACGTGTGTGTGCTACGTGCAGACGTTTTCTGTGCTTTTGTTGATATTTCGGTCACGTTTCATTTCTGCATCGCTCTTGTTTTAAAGCAGGCTCACCCTCCTTGATCAGTGAAATCAGACCTTCACTTCGGCATTCCTTAGAGATGTTTACACAGGATAAATATAACCCGAGATCCCAGCTGAGCAAGAGCAGCTTTTTAGCCACATCGTCAAACAAAAATAACAGAGCTCAAAATGTAAATAAAGTTTGTAAGAAGCATAAATTATAATGGTGGGATAAACCTAAAATGTTACAAAATGATAAGAATCAGTGCAGGTTTCAACTTTGTGTCAACAGATGACAAAGCGTTGTCTGAAAATTGACAAATATTTACCGGTAACTTTTTTTTATTTCAATATAATCTGTTCTATAACTGTTGCACATGTTAAGCATCTAAATATTGTGGAATTGTGCAAGTAGTGAATGAGTGGATCAGATTTTCTTATTGTAGATGGTACCAAAAAACAGCTGCTTTGGATTATTAGGATTCTTTTTTTTTTTTAGCATAGATGAGTAAATGAGTATTAAGGAGTCAACAATTTTTAAAGCTGAAGTAACAAAATTTACAAAAATTACATGTTGGGAAATGTTTGTAAAACAAAAATAAATGTGTCTTGCAAAGAAACTGTGGTTTACAACTTTGTTTTGCAATTATTTCMATTTTTAGTCTAAAATTATAACTTTGTGTTTCTTCTTGATTGTTTTGTTTTTATAGTTTTCTCCCATCATTATAATTTTAGGCTTTATTTTCATTGTCTCAGTTTTAAAACATAATTTTCTTAAACGTTTGTCATAGGTCTCAGATTAATGAAAGAATAAAACACACAAGAAATATAATAAATAAACTACAAATGTATATAAAATGTACAAAAGGCTGTTGTATATAAATCCCATTAATACATGAAATAAAATTCGTAGTAATTAAGGCAAAGAATAAAATATAAACAGACTTGGTTTAGGATAAGCACTTGTAACACTTTCCTTTTGAAATGAATGCATCACATTTCTTATCTTGTTTCTTTATTCACACAAACACAGGCAAAAGTAACCAGTTAAGAACAACTAATGGGAAGTGACAGCTAAAAAGGGCCCAATAGGAGCTAAGGGTCAGCAGTTGGCAGACATGGCTGCAAAATCCAGTGTGGGGATCCTGATAACTTGCAGCTCTCCCAACTTCCCATGTCCAACACAACCAGTGGTTCCACCAATAACAAAAGAAAAATACATATTCAATATTATTTATGAGCATAGTATTAGCATTTATTTTTGCTGCAGTAAGTCATTTTACTTGTGAATGCTGTTAAAAATAAAAGTCATGCAGAGAAACAAACAATGTTATTATATTTTGTCAAAATACATTTTCTTAATAGAAGAATCATCATCCAATTTAGTAAACTGCAATGCCACATGGGTTTACTGAGACATACGTTTCTACCCAGGTCAGGGGTCTGCAACCTGCGGCTCTGGGGCCACATGTGGCTCTTTGGTCCCTCTGCAGTGACTCTTTGAAAATTTGATCAAACATAACAGATTTTTTTGTTTGTTTTGTTTTTTATTCTCACAACACTAATAAACTGTAAGCAAATATGTGATCAATACTATTAATATAAAAAGTAAAACATTGTGCTAGCCTGTTGTCTACCTAAATAATCCAACTTCTTTCTATGATTTTTCTCTCAAATCCATCAGGGTTACCTTAAAACAGACTACATAATATTAAGATTTAGGGGAAAAAATGTCTGACTAATTCAGCTGTACTAGTTTTTATGAAATTCTGTATAAACTGTTTATTGGATTAGCCAGTATTTTTCTTGTGTCGTGTTTTTTTTCTTCAGTTCTGAAGTGTGAAAATAATAAATAATAAAATTCACAATATGTTTTTTAGGTTTATGTCACCTCCACTGGCCATAAACGTTCACGAAAAGGTCTTGAAAAGGCCCACAAACCACCAGTTTATAATCACAGTTGTAGTTTATTTTGCGGCTCTGGGCGCATTTTATTAGTGAGCCAAGGAACAGAAATGGCTCTTTTGATTGTAAAGGTTGCAGACCCCTGGTCCAGGTGGTTAAATGGTAAATTTCTAAATGGAGAGTAAAAAATAAGAAAAAGCTCTGGATATTTACCTGCGATATGGTAAGTGTGCATTACAGCCACATACTGATTGAATCAAAATGTTTTTACATAATCTTTCTATTATTCTTTTTTCTAACTTCGTAATTTTAAAAACAAAAACTTCAATAAACATATAATATTCTGTATACTTTTACCTAACCTTTTTGTACATGTATACGTGTTTCTCTGTTGGATATATTGCCTTTCACATTTTTGGACCTCGAGGCTTGCCGTTGTACCCGCCCATGCCATGAGACGAGCGCTATGACACGGGAGTCTCCAGGCCTGCTGCAGTAACGTGTGTGGCTGTTCGTGGGGGAGGGAGGTAAACAAGATGGCGACAACCTGAGAGGCTGGAGTAGCACGGAGAGTGAAGGAAAAATTACTGGTATTGTGTGTTACACTCCAGAGAAGCGTTTACCTCACCAAGGACGGACACACAAAGTGGAAATAAACCCCACGACGGACACTTATTCATTCGGATAAAGGTGAGAGGCGCGCCTTAGCTTGGAAAACTGTCTAGAAGCAATTTACATTGGAATCTGAGCGTCTCTTGCTAAGCATCGGTTAGCTTGCATTAGCTGAATTAATCTGGTGTGTTTCGGGGCGTATTACACGTAAAAACGGGTGCTAGTTTTGCTGTTAGTTGAGGTTAATGCAGCGTAGTTGGAGAACAACGCGCGTCACTTCGTGTGCCGCTTCTCCCCCCTGCACATCATGAAGTGAAGTTAGCTTAAACATTAGCTACCGTTGTGTGACGACGTTTCGCTCGTCACCCCCCACCACCAAGCATTCACCCAGCTTTCGCTAAAAACAAATGCATCGCTGTGGTTTCAAAGTTTAAACTTTTTCTAATTGTTTAGTATATGTTTTTCGGGGAAGAGCTCGAATAGGAAAGCTAATATAGCCTACAGAAAGTTAGCAGCTAGTTTGCGTGATATTTGTTTAATTGCTTACTAAAGTCTATCGAAGATAGTTTGGTAATGCTTAATGAAGGAAAAGCTAACACCTATCATTAAAAATAATTTGCGTATGTTGTCTACCTTTAAACATTGTAATTCATATACCCCTCCTCGAGATGTGAATACCACATAATTTAAAGTCCCCAGCCCCTATCTATTACAACTTAAATATGTTGTGATTGCTTCCTGTAATAAAGCCATACATTTTCAGACTTGAATGTAAAACTTTTAATACTTCACCTTACCCACTGACCTACCTGTAAAAGTTGCTTTTTTTTCCCATTTGTTGTGTGTACAAATTTAAAGGCTCATCTCTTTGTGTCTGATTACAGCAAAGGAGAAAGCTGAGTTTAAACTTGCCAAATGTTTATGTGGAAATATATATTTTTAAATACAATAAGCATGCTGTAGGTAGATATAGGAGCAACGCAACTGTGATGATTTTTAATGATGTACTCATTTTTCAGGTTCTAATCTGTACGAACTACGGCAACATGGAGGACACCTGAGGACGGTTCAACACATTCGGTGGTTCAGTCGACCTCCAGGAGCCTGACTGACACCAGCTATTGGATTGATCCTGCTGCATGTTCCGGTGGTTATTCTATGCTTGGATCCAGTCCAGCTTTACCCTCTTATGTGTCCTATGGAAAGTATGCCACCCAGCAAGGACCTCTGACAGAAATGCAGTGCTGCAAGGCCCTAAAGCAAGACTGGTTTCATTTACCTAAAGTTGTATGGTATTAAAGATAAAACAAGAAGTCTGTCAAAAAGGAGAATACCATTGCAGAATCGCCATTTTTCTCATTTTTGTTTGAACTGCAGTCATCGTAGCTCATATTGCACAGTCAAAAGCACTAAATCAGCACTTGAGCCAACAGGTTCTGCACCTCTTTTAGCTTGTACAGAAAGAGCCCTAATGTTTACAGGTTTCATATTGATCATCCACCTCCAGGCCTCATTTCTCTCTCTCTCATTTGTCAGTATTTTCTGGAAACACTCGGTTAAGTGCTGAAAGGTTAACCGCGGTTTACACCATACCACCAGTCGTAGCCGGTTTTTTTAAAGCTTTTTTTTCTTTTGCACACGAGGCTTAAGCAGTGGTTCTACAACAACCAGTCATGAGTGCCGGGGAGCTGCATCATCTTGATTATCTAAATGAAAATGAGCTTATGGAGATGGATACTTTTATTCACCGCATTGACTCTACCGAGGTGATCTACCAACCTCGGAGGAAGAGGGCAAAGCTAATAGGAAAGTACCTGATGGGGGATCTGCTAGGAGAAGGATCGTACGGCAAAGTGAAAGAAATGCTGGACTCGGAAACACTTTGTCGCAGGGCTGTCAAGATACTGAAGAAGAAGAAGCTCAGGAGGATTCCCAACGGAGAGGCGAATGTGAAAAAGTAAGTTTTGTTTGCAAGCTTGTTATCTGACTTTATTTGCATTTTTTGCAGTTTGAGTTTTAACACGTAACCTCGTACTTTTTGAAGTGGAAATGGTTCATTATGCTGCTACGCTAATTTGAATCTGCACTGAAAATTTAATTAAAAATAACCCTGCAAATGATTTCCTGTCTTGGACAGTATTTAGATTATATCTTGCCCCTTCATTTGCAATCCTGAATTTAAAACTCAAATACAAATAATACCATTTTTATCTTTTGCACAAATAAGTGATTAGTTGTTTTTGATTATTCTGGTTCTTATTGTTTTCTGCAGGAGAAAGCAACTGTACTTAATACATATCAAAGTAGAAAGATATACTTGGTAGTGTTTCATCTTTTTTTGCATGATTTTAAAATTATATTTCAGGTTTTTCCTTTATGGCAATGAAGCACACAGTTTGAAGTAATACTCCCATGAGATGTGTTTTCTTTGATGTATTCTTATTAGAAAAGTTTTTCTCTTTTGCCTTTAGCCATGTTCACTGTTGTGTTAGGAATAAAATATATCATATTTGTATACAAAGCATAGCTGCAAGACATTTACTTCAAGAGAGAATAACACAAAGCAAATATTTTTGCTAACTATGAGTTTAGCACAATTATTGTGAACAAAACGTGTTTACAGATATGCTCTTGATGGATCCAGTCTTAGTGAGTTGGGTAAACAAATTAAATATAGACACTTGGTTAAAAACAGAAATTAATTTGAATAGCTTGGTTTTGTTCTAATGATTAAGATTAGATGCAATCTGTGCAATCCAAGTTGTCAAAGTGAGCGTCTTAGAAGAAAAAAATATTTTTTACAGTTATTTGTGTAGAATTCATGTCTGCATAGCCACTTGGCTGATAGCTCATAGTTTTACTGTCATTTTGTGGTTTAGCTGCCGTACATATCGGTCAAACTGTTCTTGTCACTAACATTCTTATTAGCGAAAGAAGTTTTAATCACTTCACTTTTATTAAACACTATCCAGCCTTTCGCTGTGGGCCTGCGCTAATTATAGCAGCAGCTTTAGAAAACTGTCAGAATGAGTTCACTCAGAGGGAAAGAAGCTCTGCAAAATGTTTGTAGGACAAATTCCAAGCAGCGGCAGCAGAATAATGAAAGTCTGTTTATACTGTTCACCAAGAATAATTTTCTTTGTGGGTGCTTTGATATTCTGTATTTTGGGATCTCCCACCTACTACCAACTGAAATTTAGCCATTTTTACACAGATGCATATTAATAAATCCCCTTTTATTTAGTAGCTGAAATGAGTTAGCAGTGGCTGCAGAACAGTATCTATGCTGGCTCTGCTCTGGTTAGTGGTGTATTGTATTCAGAGCTCTTCTGAGAATACTTGGAGCTCAGTCCACCATTTATAAAGTGGTGCAGGTCTCAGACTGTGCAATGCCCGTTTGTTCCTTTTTAAATGGAGGATTGAAAACACTGGCTAAGTAAATCAGTTTTTTTTTTCACACTCTAAAACCAAATGTACTGGCCCAGACACTGTCCCCTGTTCACACATGCAGGACAGGAAAGAGTTTCACTGCAACCTAAATCTCAAAATTAACGCAAAGTTGGGATGTGAGCTACTCTAGTGAAAATGTGTTTGCTTGAAGGATTCTTTAAAAAGTGCATTAAGGCCCTGTCACACTTATGTCATCTTTAAAATGTTCATAAAAGATGTCTACGTTGAAGATGGAATTTAAAAAAAATCAACAGGAAGCTTCTTGCCGGCATGCACATAATGTAATTCTAACAAACTAATCAAATTATAAAACTTTTACTAGCAATTTAGACATAAATGTTTCATAAGTTGGCATAAGTTGTCTATGGTAACAGGGCCTTAAGGTTGCCTTTACTGCCTCTTTTAGTTTTATGCTGTTTTGTATGTCATCTTAGAAATTTTGTTTTTGTTTTTGGACTGGTAATTTACAACTAAACACCTTTTTAGCTGCTTTACATAATTTCCCTAGGTTTTAAGATGTCTGTGACATGCTTTGGTCAAAGTACAATAGGATTACAATATTACAGCACTGTTCTTTGTTCCGTCTTTAAAGCTATTTATGTTATTAGTTAGCTATTTAGTTACGTGTGTAGCTTGCCCTTTTCTCTAGGACATCTTTTGATCTGGTTGTAAACACACAATTTACTCTCAATTACCCTTGAAGGATGTTTTTTACCCTTTGAAAAGTTACATAGAACTTAAAGGGTCTTTCTGGACATGTAGAGAATTTAAGTAACTTTTGTTGTGACTATATCTGAATCATTTCAGCAATAAAAGAAAAACTATTTGACTGCACTAGTCTTCGGTTAAACCCGGAATCTTCAAAAAGAATTGGTCACGGTTGTGTTAGCTGACAGACCTTCAACAGTTTAGAAGAGAGCCTCTTTCACAAAGTCCTCCCAAGCCAAGCAAGGAAAGTCTTTTCTACTACCTCTGTGGGCAAAAGTGAGCGGCGTGGCGGGCATGGGGAGCTGAAGTTGCCCCACTGCAGATAAGGGAGGCAGGGAGAGATGAAATGGTCAAGTCTGTGTAAGGATAAGCCGGCCTGGCAGCTTGAGGGTGTGATGTTGTGATGACACACTGTGCTATCAGCAGGCTGTGGGGTTTGAAATGATATGAGGGAGACGTCCGACATGCATTTTAAGTGCTGCGCTCCTCATCAATGCCGCAGAGTTAAATTCCACACCTCATAAAGTTCTACAACGCTGGATTTATTATGCAAGTGGAGAACGTCACCATACTCGTCCGGCTCGATTGTCACATTAACGGACGACTAGAGGCAGCTTCGAAAGGGGGGTTTGTATTTGCAGGCTTATTGCCGAAATGTTTTGTGAAAAGGCCTTGTGAGCTGGTGCCATTCAGTGGCTGCTTAGCATTCCTGTCAACCAGAACACTTCCTGCTTTTACAGTGTTGCTATTGGAGTGGGCATGCCCATGCTGGTATTGACTGTGCAATGCCACTTGTGTTGCTATGGTAACACCCCAGGAAAGCCTGTCTGGAATGACAGGAACGTACACGAACGTCTAGTCGCCCCAGCGCAGCATAGACTCAGATTTTGGTGTGTCGTTTATGTTGCTGCTGCATTACAGCGGCTTCTGTATCGCTGAGTGTTGCAGTCCTCTCAGCTCTGCAGGCTGTAAGCACACAAGGTCCTTCAGCACAAATTTGAGCTCAGACTGCAGATGGACTGCAGCGGTCACCATCTGAGCCTTCACTGTCAGCCCGGCCTCTGCTTTATGCTTTTGCACTACGGAGACGAGCTGCGGTCTGGATGACACAAACACACACTGTGCTTTAGAGATGAGTCATCTGTGCTTGTTTTGTTGCATAGTGGAGAGGTTCATAAAGAACACCTTACCACATTTGATTATATTTTTTTCTTGAAGTGGCTTCATTATCAGTGCAGTGAAGCAGCAGTAAATTATAGGTTTGTGTGAAAGCAAGAGGCACATTAGGCCCGATATATCCATCTGTCAGTGGTGAGGTTGTGTTAAAGGAAAAGAGCTGACACGGCTCATCAACAGCACAGTGATAATTACGCCCAGAGAAGCTCCTGTTTGTTTTCTTATGTGAGGACAGATGTTTCAGACATGCCTGGACCCAAACGTTTTATTTTAGACACTGATGCACTCTCTTATTGCCCTGAGCTAAAACTAATTGTAAATCATTTGTAGTCTGGAAAATGTAAAGAAAATTCAATTTGGGCAGTCAAGATTTTTAGATAGGCTTTTGCATTTAAAGTATTTTTGGGGGAATATTTTTGGGCTGCACAATATCAGTAAAACCTGTGATGTGCAATAACAGTGCTTAATATTGAGACGACGATATGACTTACAATTAATGAAGTGTTAATTTAAGTATAACGTTTTGATGTCTTTCAGCTCTGGGTTCAAAAACAACAACTTATACATAATTTCCATTTCAACATGACAATTTTATTTTAAAAAACGAAACTAGACACAGTTGCTGTAGTAGCAGTGAAACCACAAACGGCATGCAAAACAGTTGACTTTTAAAGCATATCCATAAAACATTTTCTGATGCTTGAAAAACACCCCCTACTTTTAGGTGTTTTAAAATAAGTAATAAAACAAAAACCCGTCCAAATAAGAGACATTCTTTTTTTAACCACAAGTTCTTTGCATACATTTTCCTCGCATGTCTTGCTGTCAGCCACTAAGCTTGCTCGGTTGTTTGTTATTCACCCACGTCCGCGTAGGGGGTGGGTATCTAATGCGAGGAGATTCATTTGACTGATCAAATACTTCAAGCTTCTGTGTGATTGACAAAACGCAGAAATGCAAACATTTGAGCTAACCGTTTCTTGCAGTCTGTGCAGTTTTTTGCGAAATGCCTTTTGCACAGGCTGTTATTGCAATGTCAATACATTTTCGATATATTGTGCAGCCCTAATTGATCATATTATTCCTGGTATTCATTTTTGTCCACTAAATATGCCATGATATTGAAAAATGTGTTGAGAGCATTGAGGCTGTCAAAGCACTTTTTGTGTGTATCATTGCCGTACACTTACTTTTGTCTTAATGTTTGTCCTTTACAGAGACATGACTGAGAGTGCTGAAAAGAACAATTGTGTACACACCTTTAGAGTAAAACAGTACTTTATGTTATGTTGCCTAAAATATAAAAGTCCTCAAAAAGTTAGTTTTTTCATATCATATTTCCCCAACAATTAGCATCAGCATACCGAAGGTGTAGTGGTCCTGTAAATCATAAGGGTTTGGGGGTGGGGAGGTATTGTGTATTTTCAAGGCATATAGTTCTGGTCTACCATAATCAAGTAACTGTTATCAAGTAACCGTTACCTTCAGTTGTTCTGAAAATGCTGTATATATCAAAAATAAACCTGACTTTCCATCATAGCATAATCTATCTAAACACCTTGAAATTGGCCAGTCTCTTTAAGAACCTCCTACCATTTCTGACACTCCCACTTCAGCCGTCTTCCCAACCGTGCTTCAGGGTAGGGCTGCTCTGTGGGGCGGGAGCTAGCTACACTGAGCTCCAGGGAGGAGCTTTGTGTAATTGGTCAATGCTTTGTACCAGCAAGCGTTTAAGCAGCTCTAAATGGCTACCACTGGAGATGCAATGATTTCTTAAATATACATGAATGAGTCAAAGCAACACTCTGTTTTTGATGAGGAAATTATATACATGATATAAAGATCAAACGTTTCTGTCAAAGACTGTAAAAATACTGTAGGCTGTTTAGTTTTTTTTATAAAGTTTTGAAAATATTGTCACGAGGACGGCACCATTTTATTAACTCTGCAAAGCATACCAGGTAAATGACAACATTCACTAGTTTTTCTGGTGGTCAGTTTAGCCTGTTAGCTCTGAGCTAAGATATACTGTATATGTATTGGCCTGAGTGCTAATCCTATATCGCCATATATGTGTATTAGCTCTGCGCAAATGCCGAAGCTAACAGGCTAAACTGAGGTTCTTCACTCCATGAAGCAGGTCTGTTGTCCTCCATCCACATTTTCAGTTTCAGGCTGAGTCATTTCTACATTCTCCTCTCTGTCAAAAAAAAAATGGACATTGATGTAATTAATTGTGGCTGCACACATCCACTTTGCTGTTTTTTGGTCTGTATTGATGAAACAAAAGTCATATTACATAAACTTAAAAGCTAGTAATTGCAAATACGAAAAGAAATAACTACTGCCAAACAAAGTGTTATGTTATAAATGGCAGTGATAAAACAGAACACCTGCACGATCCAGTGACATTATTATGTCAATGTGTTGATGTATGAGACCTGTACTTTAGCCTATATTCAAGCAGAAGGGAGCCACAGTTAGTATTATATTACTTCTAGATGTTGTGCTTGATTTGTGCCTTTTTATTTTGTATTTTCTCCTACAGGGAGATTCAGCTGCTAAGAAGACTCCAACACAAGAATGTGATTCAGTTAGTTGATGTGCTCTACAACGAGGAGAAGCAGAAAATATATCCTCTTCTAAATCTAGATACTGATGAGGTGTACCATAAATGTGACTGTTGTTTAGGGCTATACTTTTGTATTTTAGTTTAACAGCTTCACATTTATTTATTTATTTATTATTCAATAAATTTGTTTGGTATTGAAAATTCTCCTTGACCCCTAACATACGTATATGGTGATGGAGTATTGTGTTTGTGGGATGCAAGAGATGTTGGACAGCGTTCCAGAGAAAAGGTTTCCAGTATTTCAAGCTCACGGGTAAGTCTCAATATTATCTTATTTTTTTTCACTCCCTCTTCCCCCCCTAGTCTCTCTCGCTCTCGCTCTCGCTCTCTCTCTCTCTCTCTCTCTCTCTCTCT